GGGCCCTCTGGCATCCCAAGCCAGTTCTTAACCATCGTGTCACTCGGCCGGCCCACTAGTGGGACTTTTTATTGCTTTCTTAAGTTACTTGATTTGTGACTCATATGACAAATTACCTATCTTAAATAATGATACTCCAAGAGTGTCATCCTTTGAATTCAGTAAAGAACTAATTTTTATGAAATTAACAGGGGATTTGTATATTGTCCCAGTAATCAACTCCCCATTTTCCTTCTCTCAAGCTTTGCTTTGTTCTTGGAATTTACCACCAATATCTCTTGATTCCAGCATCACACGCCTGCCCTTAGTTTGTACATTGGTATGACTGTTATTTCTCATTAGTAAAGAAATTGTCTGCCTATTCCAGAACTTTGGGTCAGAAATGAGAACAAAAGCCAATCACGCAGGCACTGTCATTCTTTATGAAAAGACTTTTAAGAACAATCATTTGATTAACTTAAGGCAATTTACATTAAAATTGTCTTAGAAGCGAGAGCCTAGGTAATGAGTCTGTATTGTATCTATCTAAAAATTTCAAATAAGATGTTATGAAAGAAATGTTCACAACCTTCAGTAGCATATTATCTTTAATTTCTTTAATTTTTTTGTCTCAGAGTTTTCTTAGCAATTTTAAAGTGGACTTGATTAATGTACTAAGATCAAAATCACCTTTTTAAAAAAAACATAATTAAGCTGATAATTTTGTCCCTTTTTTCCCTCCCTGCTCCTCCCCCAAAAAGGGAGTTTATTTTTATCTGTTCCCCGTTGGTGGAGGGCTAAAATTTTCGATTCAAGAATACTTTGAGACTTAGTTACCTAGTTCTGTGTGTCATCCACATCTTTTCTTTCTCCTCTTCTCCATCTTACAGGCTTGTATTTTAGTTCAGCAACTAGAAGGATGAGGAAAAGAAATATGTCAGCCTCTTTGACTAACTAGTAGTTTGGGTAAGAGAAATAGCTAAGGGGATAGTTGCAAATAGGGCTAAAGGAGATGTTTTGGTTTGTCTTCTGAATTTCAATTTGTCCAGTTCATCCTGGTTTCTTTTATGATGGATTATCTATAGGGAACAGCATTAGCACATGACCTTTTTCCCTTAAGCTATTATTTATTCACTCGGGATATAAACACTTTTGTATAAAAGGCAGTTGTGTGTTACAAAGAAGTGTCATGATGAGCCCTTAAGAAGCGTGCGAGCTAGGCAGGGAGAAGGAGGTGTACATTTAGCTATGGCACAAAAAATGTAATACACATCCCCAGCGAAGGGGAGAGGAGAAGGTTAGAGTGTGGAAAACAGCATGTAAATTCTAACTAAACTAATATCAGATATGTAGGGAAATTCAAAATAAAATCTAGGAGCCCCAAGACAGAAAGAAAAGTTAAGGAAAGGGGAGATTGGGGGATAGAAGAAAGGAAACCTGTTTAGAAAGGGAAGGGAGAAGGAATTAAATCAAGGTGGGCTGTCAGCTCTGGAAGAAGATGGGTTTCTCCATTCCCTGTGCACACTCAGGAGTGGACCTCCAGCCGTCACAGCTGGACCAGCCCCAACTCATCCTCTGGGCAATAGAAACTCATTTGCCAGGCAGAGATGTGGACCATCCCACCTGGTCTATGCCTGTATATCTTTCTTTGTTCATTCGAAAGACCACTGTAACCAAGTGACTGCCACTGCGAGTCTGATCATCACTTCCATGCTGGAATCCTTCGGTGTTTCCCATTGCTGTTGGAAGGTTAACCCTGTCACCAGTGCTGACGGCCTGCACAGTGGCCCTTCCCGTCTCTTCAGCCTCTGCTCTCACCACGGGGCGCCCTGTCATTCTCTCTTCCCCAGCCTATGCCCTTCTCTGTGTGCTGCTGTGCTCCCTCTAACCCTGAGCCCTTCCACATTCTCCTCCCTCCCTCTGCAAATGCTCCTCCCGCTACTATTCGACTACTTAATTCTTTCCTCCCCCACTCCCAAACTCCTCTTTGACAGCACTTATCACAGTTGAAGTTTGTTTTGTGTGTGATTATTTGATGGGCTCCCCCACTAAATTATAAGCTCTTAAAAGAGAGGAACCGTGTCAGCTTTTGCTCACCATTCCCATGCCGAGCTAGCTTAGAACATATCTGTTGTGAGTGGAGGAAGATATTGAGTGGCTCCTCAGAGAAGCTGAATAGTGTAGTGATGTATTTCAACCCCATTTCCACCCCTTTTAGGCTGTTTTTTTACCTGTGGCTGCTTACTTATTAAGAATGCCTTAAATAAGAAAGAAGCTTCTTTTTTCTCATGTAAAAGGCCAAGCTTGTGTGGTGAGCTGGGCAAAATCCTCAAGACCCTAGGCTTCGTCCATCTTTTTTTCTGGGCATTCATGCATCCAGCTTAAAATCAGGGCTCTATAGTAAACAATAAGAGGAGAACAGATACCGGGGACTCTTAGCAATCTCTGCCATCGTGCCTTATGAATGTATTGTAGGGTTAAATACGTACATAAGACTCTTAGCACAGTCCCTGGCGCATAGCACTCAGCCGTGGCTGCCTGTATTCCTTAATTCAACATATTTGCAATAAATGACTTACCTGAGAGGCCTTCTCACTCCCGCTCTTGAAACATTTTTCAGCTCTTCATTTCTTTCATTCTTCATTCTTGGGTCAGATTACTTGGTTTACTATTTTGCAGACAGTTTACCCTAAGTATAGGGAGCACATCTCTGTTTTCCTTTTGATAGTTCATAGAATAACAGCCCTTCTGCCGCCCCACTGGGCCCTTGCTCTCCGCGGCCTCTTCATGATTCCTATTTATATAAAGTCAGCTTCCCCACAGCTAAGATACACTCTGTTGATCAAATAGACCCACAGATCTGTTATCTTCTCCTGTGGATGGTGCCATTGGGACGTAGATCCACCTTTGTTTAAGGCTGGTCCTTGACATGCAGGAGGCGGGCAGTGCAGGGTGAGGAGGGAGGTGAGACGGAACTTTAGTGAAAACAGAGTAGGACAGTGTGTGTTTATCCTTGACAGTTTATTTTCTTTATCTCCTGTGAAGGCAATTGACCGAGGCGTGGGCTTTGAACTTGTCTACAGCCCCGCTATCAAAGACTCCACAATGAGAAGGTACACAATTTCCAATGCTCTCAATTTGATGCAAGTCTGCAAAGGAAAGGTATGGTTCCATAATTTTAGGATGTTTTTTAAATCTAGCAGTTTATTGTTATTAATACACTGGAGTATCAAACTGATTCCTTTCCTTAAAGCAGAAAGTTCTCAAGATATAGGAATAAATTCTCCCATTTCAACGAGCTCTGCAAGTGTTAAAGTGAAGACATATATCTTGGGAAGAATTACATAAGGGGAGGAAAGATGTGTTGAAAGCCATTATCTTTCAATAAGGAATTTGCCCTTCACTCACTGTGAAAAGACTAGTCTAGATAGTAATTATCATCAGTGAGATCAATTAAGGTTATATGACCTTTTCAACTAGTTTTAAAAACTAATTCATCTTTTCTAAGATCTGTTGGGGAGGCCTATTCAGTTGTCTTTAGTTTGACATGAAGTCTTCAATTCTTTTACTTGAATTATTTACCTTATCTTTAAAAGAAGTTGGTATTTATAATGCTTTAAATGATAAAATGTGATTCCTGGTTATTTATAAGACTTTAGGTTTTTTTAATATTTATCTAAGATTAATACTGATCACTTTTTGTTTTGTAGAATGTAATTCTGTCTAGTGCTGCAGAAAGGGTAAGTCTGGTACTAAATACTTTGCTTTCACTTTTCAAGTTATAAAATCTTGAAAAGTTTCTAGGAGAGAAATTAAAATAGTATTATAATGAACGTTTATTGCATGTTTTCATTTATAACTATTTGTTCATTGTAATTGCTGAAGAGTAAAACTTATTTCCATTCCTTTTGGGCTTCAAGTTTTGCTCATATATTTTTTTTATACTGTTACAAAATGCTTTTTAAGGTTATATATNACACACATACCGACTCCATCTATAAGTTCAGGAAAGCTGCTGCTGTTTGATGGATATTTTTGGCTTAATTCCCACATTTTTCAACTTAAGAATTCTGAAAAGTAACAATTTGACAAGTGAGAGGGATATGCAATATTTAGCACAGTGTCTGCTTTTTTAAAAATCTGGTGTGAACATTTTACATATGTTATTTAATAGAAACTACATGGTGGAGTGGAGAGAAAAGCTGTACAGGATTATTTTTAGTCTTCATCTAATGTAGAAGTAAGGCTACAGTGTGAATTGGTCAGGAAGCAGAAAGATCCCTGTTAATTTATTCACCTAGTTCTCCTTGAAGCTAGGAAGCTGGAAACATACAGTAAAAGGTATCCAGGTCTTGGTCCTTGCCTGTTCCTTTGGCCTTAAGGATGAACTTATCTTTGGCTATGAGAGGTTGATAATTTGGCTTTATAAGGATTACTTCATTGGGCACATGAAGAAACAATCTTTCCTTTCCCTTTGGTTTCCCTCAGGGTTTGTGCTCTTTTGCGGTGGTGAGAAGCAGGCATATTAAAATACAGAATTCATTAGTCGTTTATCTAGAAACCATGTGAGAATTATCAGTCTAGGTGGCTGGGATTATGAAGGCGCACCCAGGAGCTAATCACAGGAAAGCACTCCGTTTGTATAATTTGTAGCTCTCATCCCTTTTGTTACCTTCACATACTTGGGGCACCATAATTTTAATTATGTACTTCCCTCTACAGTCTCCTTCAAACCTCTTCTGGAGTTTAAATAACTTGTTTGGGACTTACAACTTAATCGTGGGATAGCTGGGTTTCTAAAAAATTGAATTCAGCTCCCCTTCTTAGATAATCAAATGACTTCTAGTTATTTATCATTTATCGTTTAGCACATTCACGCCTGCTGTAGCCCAGCAGCTTCAGGGTGGGTTACCTCCAGCGTTCAGGTAATGGAATTGAGCCTCAGGTAGTTTGTGACTCACACAGATGCACTTCTCGTTCAGAGGGATGACTTGGGGTTTGTACTCAAGCTTTGATTCTGATCCGCTGTCGTCTCTCACTAGGAAATGCTATTGAAAATTACTGTACAGAAAAGCTCTTTATTAAGCACAGGATAATTCGATACTTTAAAACGTAATCTTTATCAATTCAGGTTTTGAAAATAATATTTTTTAAGCAGCACATACCTTTACTTTCCCGTTGGTTTTCTCAGTGCTGTTGCCATTCAGCAATGACTTCAAGTTTATTGAGTTATTTTCAGTGATTGTATGTTTTTCGCTCTCTTTCTGATGTTTTCCCCTCAGCACTTCCTTTAACCCTCATCCATTTCTATCTTCATTCTCCAGTTAGTCCCCACTGACAGATGGCCACTAAGTAGTGAGTGTCTGAAGCAGCAAGGTTGTTCCAGGAATCGTGCCATTTATACTTGGTGGGGTATCAGTGCTCTGTAAACTTCATTTTTCATCACATATTGTGAACCCAAATATGTTAAGTACTTTATTGAACCAGTGCCAGCAAACTTGCCAGCATCAAAAATTTCTGTGTGGTTAAAAAAACTAAACAAAACAAAAAACCGCACCAGAAACAAAGCTAAAAGACTAATGACAAAATGGTGAAAATATTTTCACTGATAGACAAAAAGTTAATCTCTTTAATAGATAAAGAGCGCCTAGAGATTGACAAAAAAAAAAAAAGATGAACAATCCAAACAAATGTATTAAGAATATGAAAAAGATATTTCACAGGAAAGGAAATACAAATAGCCCTTCAACATATGAAAAGATGCTTAAATTCATTATAAGATAAATTCACATTAAAAATCACCTATCTGATTGGCACAAACCTAGTCGCTTAATGATGCACTGTTGTAATGCTGTAGGAAAGCAGGCATTCTCATATACTGATTGTAGCAGTGTAAATTGGAACAGTCTCTGTAGGGGAATGGTAATTGGGCAACAACTATCCAAGTTACAAATGCTTTACCCTCTGACCTAGTGTATTGGTTTCCTGAGGCTGCCATAATGGAATACCATAAACTGGGTGGTTTAATTAAACATAAATTTATTGTCTCAGAGTTCTGGAAGTTAGAAGTCTGAAATCAAGATGTCAGCAGGGCCACGCTCCCTCTGAAACCTATAGGGGAGTCCTCGGCCTCTGCCTAGCCTTCGGTGGTTTGCTGGCAGTCTTTCATGGTCCCTGGCTTGCTTCTGCATTCTTCTGCATTACTCCCATCTCTGCTTTTCTCTTCCCAGTGTGTTCTTACTGTCCCTGTGTCTTCATATGGCCATCATCTTATGAGGGCACAGTCATATCGGATCAGGGGTCCACCCTAGTCCAGTATGACCTCATTTTAACTAATCTCATCTACAATGACCCTATTTTCAAATGTCACATTCTGAGGTACTGAGGGTTAGGACTTCAATATACCTTTTATGCAGAGACGCAATTCAACCCATAACCCTCAGCAATCCCACTTTAGTGTTTATTTTACAGGTATATTGAAACAACCCAAAGTCTATCAGTAGAGGCTTGGTTAAATCCATGCCATGCCTCTACAGTGGACTAGCGTGCAGGAATAAAACAATGCAGAAGTTATGAGCTGACATGGAAAACCAGTCAAGTCAGTCAAGAAATGTAGCAGGCTACCTTTTGGGTGAAAAAGAGGAAAAGTAATATCATGTATATATTCATATTTGCTTATATTTGTATGAAGAAACTCTGGAAGAAGACACAAGATAGTAATAAAAGTAATTATGGGAGATGCGGATATGGCAGGTG